TATAGAAAAAAGCTGTGAAAAGTGCAGTGTTGTGATTATTGGCCGTAGGAGATTTTTTTTGGCTTTGCTTTGGTAGCTCATTCTTTCTTCTAAGCCTCTATTTTTCCCCATACAGTCTTGATATTTTTTTTCTGGCTTCACCTTGTGATAGTCTTCCTAAGCAAAAATCAAATTTTGTGCCCTTTTAAAAACTAGGGCCAAGAGCTAAGAGTTTGGATCGATAATCCCATAGAGTGAGGTTGTCTTGTAGGGTAAGAAAATGCAGTGGTTAATGGGAGTAGTGGAACTGCCAATCTGGCAGCACTGACCTATTTGTATGAGTACAGAGAATATGTTTCATGGTCAAAGTATGGTATTAAGAGCGCCGATTATCCAGTCTCAAACACTCAGCACAAGACCATTCTATGTCATATCTACTCAGCCATTCCACCTCAATTCATCATTCCTCAGGAGTTGTAATCACTGTCACTCACAGTCTGGTTCTCATTTGCATGAGCCTATGAGAGGAATGGAGGGGCAGAGTCAGCAGATATAAGGAGATTTGGCTGAAGAGGCAGAGAGAAGAGAGATAGAATTTGCAGAGAGAGATAGAGAGATAGGCAGGGAGATAGTGAGAAGAAATACTAATAAAGATAAGCTGGTCAAGATAAACAGAGCAGGTGGTGAAGATGACAAGATACAGTGGTGCCCCGCAAGACAACAATAATCCGTCCCATTAAAATTGCTGTTTAGCAAAATTTTCATCATGCGAAAACCCCTTCCCCATTGGAATGCATTGAAACCCGGTTTAATGCGTTCCAATGGGGAAATACCTCGTCGTCCAGCAGAAATCGCCCATAGGGAAGCCATTTTGCGAGCGCTGATCAGCTGTAAAAATGGCTGCCCTGCGAAGCATGGGTCCGGAAAACACAGGACAGACATTTTGTGAAGCCGATGATCACCGGACAAAATCGTCATCTTGCAAACAAACGGTTCATGAAGCACGGACCTAATCGATGTCCAGCGAAAATCCCCCATTGGAATGACTGTTTTGTGAATCCCTATAGTGATCACAAAAAGTCATTGTTATGCAGATTTGTCGTTTAGTGGGGTCGTCATCTTGCGAGGTACCACTGTATATGATATTTGAATGATTTGATTCTATGCATTGAATAAATAACATCTGTGATTTTGATTAAAGTTAATACAATTCAATAAATAAGTTCTGTTGGCAGCAGCCTGATAAGAGTCTGACTAAAGTTCATGATTTATTGTGGATAAAGGAAATCCACTGGTGGCAGTGAGAAAAAGGGAGAACGTCCCAATTGTTGTCTGCTGGTGAACAGACATAACATGAGCCCTTTGTTTGGGGAAACAAGCGGAGGTTACGTGGTAAACGTCACAATATGCATTGAATAAATAACATCTGTGATTTTGATTAAAGTTAATACAATTCAATAAATAAGTTCTCTTTATGTTTCGTGGTCAAGGCATGGTATTAAGAGCGCAGATTATGCAATCTCAATCACTCAGCATTCTATGTCATATCTACTCAGCCATTCAACCTCAATTCATACCATTCCTCAGGAGTTGTAATTACAAAAGGCCAACTGGGAAAGGTTTACAACAATGCTATGTGTGGTTGTGCTTCAGATTGCCCCTCAACCAGAGAACTATGATATCTGTAACTTATTTTGAAATTTTTCATGAATCCATTCCAAGAAGGTACTGGACCAACTACATTTCATGTCTTACTCTGGAAAACCCATTTCACACTTTGAAGAAAAACATTTTAGTGAATATACAATAAAACATGGGAGAAATTTGATCTTGGCTACAGTGGACCCTCTACTTAAGGAATTAATCCGTATTGGAATGGTGGCTGCAAGTCGAAAAGTCTGTAGGTTGAATCTCCATTGACCTACAATGCATTGAAAACCGATTAATCCCATAACCAGCGGTTTTTATTCTATTTTTGTTCCATTTTGGGTTTTTTCTGGTCTGTAAGTCGATTCTCTGGCTGCAAGTCAAATCTAAATTTTGCAGCCAGAGGATTCTGTAACTCGAAAAGTCTGTAAGTCGAGCCGTCTGTAAGTCGAGGGTCCACTGTATTGCAAAACAAAATGAACTCGCTAGATAGGCACTGCGCTAGAGCTTGACATGGCATGAAGCAGCCAGAAAGCTTGGAGACTACTGAAAACACTGAACGACAATTCAAACTGCAGGATACTGTTTGCAAATATTGTGTCAGAGTTCTGGTAAAATTCCCTTTTGCTATGAAGTAGAACTACAGAGACTCCCTCACAACAAATATAACTTCCAACCAAATAGCACACCAACTGCTCCTGCAGGGAATACCTAACAACACATAATAAAATATCAAAGGGATATTCTGAAAAAATCCACTTAACTTTCCACTGCCTTCATATTAGCAGAACCAGAGAAAATCATAAGAAGATGTAGGAATGGCAAAGCAGTGGGATTTGATGATATCCATATTGAGCAAAGTAAACATTTTGGGCAAAACACAAAGGATTGATTCCTTCAACTCTTTAATAACTGCTGGATGAACAAACAAACTCTGAAAATATGAGAGAAGACAAAAGTAGTTGCTATACTGAAACCAGGGAAAGAAACATCCGTGTGGTGGTCCTGGGAGCCAGATGGGTGGTATAGAACTCCAATAAATTCTAAAAACTATAGGCCAATCTCCCTACTGTGCCACTTATACAAATTGTTTGAATGAATGATAGTAAGTCATCTAGCCCCTAAAATTGGCTTATTCTAATTCCAGAACACGCAGGCTTTAGACCTGGCAAGAACTGTACCACTCACTTCTTAAATCTAACACAGCCAATAGAAAGATGATTTTGAAACATATAAAATAACTGCAGTACCATTTGTTGAGTTTACAGTGGCGTATCATACTGCCCACCATCAACTGCTATTCAAAAGTCTCTGCCTCCTTACTAAATATGGACTAACAGAAATGGTTGCCCTTATGCTTTAGAACTGAAGACTCTTTGTTGATTTTCAACGGAGGAACAGCCAGTGGAGAAATGAAAGGAACACAGGATAACATCCTGGAACCATTACTGCTTAACATTTACATAAATGATCATTCTCATGCTCTGGGAGTTTCTTCTGTGCTGATGAATCTTGCCTTTACAGTCTGGGGAAAACCTTTGAGGCCATCAAACACCAGTTAACCTTTGTATTAGAAGATCTTTCCTTATATTATAAAAACAACTAGCTAAAACCAAAACCTTTAGAAACACAGGTCTGCACCTCCCACTTAAAGAATAGAGAAGCAGAGAGGAAGCTCCAAGTTAGCTGAGAAGACAAGGTTTTGGAACAATGCCCTCAATCAATGCAGCATTTATGTGCATGCAATCTTCTCGCAAGAAGAGGGCTGTTTTTCCTTTTGCAATGGGAAGGAGGAGGGGAGGACTGCAGGATCGAAGAGAGAGAGATAGACTAAGGGTAAGGAGGCAAGGAAGGAGGGACGGAGGGAGCTGTGGCTCGTCAAGCAGTGTTTTTTCACTCGTCACAAACGAGTGGACGAGTGGATTTTTCAAGCCCTGCCAATAAGATACCTCCTTTTTCTCAAATTCACTCTTTCATCAGATTCCTAAACTCAGTTTTATAAGTACAGCATCTTGCAAAGACAGAATTCCACGTACCCTGAAGGCGGAATTGTTTTTAAGAGATCCTTCCATTGGAAGTGTCATTTTGGCAGAGCTCTTAAAGAGGAAAAGTGGCAGTAGTGATTCCCTGTAGATAAATGTGTTGTTCTTCATTCAGAGCTGATTGATAATGGCAGTGATGACATTTGATTTTCAGATGAAATAATTATCTATGCATGTTTCATTCCCATTAATTTTCTAATATAAAATGGAACTCTAATACATGCATAGTACTTTTAAATTGAAACAACTTGTCATCCCCTGGTCTCATACTCAACATCACAAATACTGATTGAAGGCCACATGTTGAAAGGACGATAGTGAGTACGGCAGGGAGTTGTTTCAAATGGAGATCTTCTAGAGTTAGAAATCAAAGTTCATGTGCACATGTTCTGTCTTTTTCTTTGTAAAAATTTTTTTTGTAAGAAAGAGAAAGGGGCTGGGTTTACAACAGAAAGACAGTATGTTAGAACCCCTTAAAAACCTTGTATGTAAATACCCAGAAAACACACATACAAACAAACACACACAGAGAGATAGAGATGGAGAGAGAGAAATAATTACATTTTAGTGAAGTAATTGAAGATATGACTCAGATGTGTAGAGAGATTAATTGTTATATTTATTTAGGTATTAAAAACAGCTAAAAAGATGTGGCTCTGGGAAAAGCCATGTAGATTGCCATGTGCATTTGCTGTTTTGATTGCCACGTACAATTTTTGTTGATACCAATTCCAAAATAATATGTTAATTTTATAGTGTACAATACTTCAGATGGTTATTATTAATTCTGTCGGAGCATCAATTTCTGTGGAATAGTAGTTTGCTCAATGTAAAATGACATTAATTGTGCCAAGAAGTTTTGATTTCAGAATTTGATAGAGGGCAAACTACAAATGGAAGAGAGGGAAATAGAAACAAAAGTAGGTAGATTTCAGTTAAAGGTAGATTTAAGTTTAACTTAACATAGACTTACTCACAGTAGTGTATATGAACTGGGGGTTGACTTTATGATGAAGGCATGTTCACTGTGGGATTTGAACTAAGAAAGAAAGATGTTCTCAAATTCCGTTTTGGGTATAAGTACTGAGAGAGAAACGGCAGTTTCATATGTGGACAGATGAAGTTGAAACTGAAGAAGTGAAATTCATAGTTAAGGGTATATCTGAATATAAGACTACAGTATACTGATAAAGGATGCAAAGTTATGGAGGTCTTTGAATGTTAATAGGAGCTTATATTGGATCTTCATATGCTTGTTAAATGTTTGAATGTGATTCTGGACCGGTTTTGTCAACTTGCTGTCACTAAACTCCACTCTGTTAATGTCCACAGCTGCTTGAACACAATGGAGCACTTAGGGACAGTGGACCCAGAAGATGATTCAGGATTATTATCCCGCCTTGCACCTAGTCCTCACAGTGAAGCAGTTGCTCATGAACTTCAGGAACTGTCCTTGCAGCCTAGCCAGTATTTACCCCCACTCAATGAGAGAAAGAATGGTGAGTAAAGGATATCAGGTGTTTTTTTGTTTGTTTTATTTTATTTCATTTCATTTTATTTCATTTGTATACCGCCCCACAAAACACTACTCTGGGCAGTGCACAAAACAAAACATAAGCAACAAAAATCAGCAGAGATGACAATAGAAAATTTATAACACAATATACCAAACAAATAAAATGGAAGGAAAACAATCTTAGCTTCCTGGTCTAAATAATTCGCATTACCTTTTTTATCTACTACGTGCTTTTGTGCTGTTTGAGATTTAACAACAAAAATTAATAGCTGAATGTCTTTCAGGTAACATCAAACAACTTGCCTATTTCTGTGTTCTGTATGAACAAACATTTAGAGTCTGTTTATGCTAGTGCCTTGATTTAAATAGTCTCTTGTTTTATTTGTTTACCAATCCAAGTGTGTACCAATCAATAAATTTTAGTTCTTTTGTTTTTGAAATCCATTCCTGTCTGTGTGACTCCTTATAGGGAATGGTTGGTGGCAGTCTACCTGAAGTGTGAGAGAGTGTTGATGTAGTGTAACAGGCCTCCTTGGTGAAATAGAGAAGGAGGTTGTTACATGATAAACATCAAACAAGAAATAGGGCCTTCTCAGCGGTGGCTCCTCGCCTTTGGAATAACTTACCTCCTGGCATTCGCGGAGCTCCCTCGCTGGGCACCTTTAAGAACCTATTAAAGACTTGGATGTTTCGGCAGGCCTTCTCTCCAGATTACTTTTGATTTTCTTCTCTCCTTTATTGTTTCCCTATTTTTAATTGTTGTTGTAATTATGCTGTTTTATGTTATTGTATTTTATCTCTGTTGTTGGCCGCCTAGCGTAGTCCACCACGACTAGATAGGCGGGATATAAATTAAATAAATAATAACAATAATAATATAATCTATTGTAAACATTTAGGTGTATTTCTCTGCTTGAAATTCTGTGTGCAGGTTTATTATTCTTTCTGCTGAGTGCTTCATACCACCAAAGATACAAATGTTTCATTTTGGAAGTGCCTGTTTTATTTCATCTTGTAGTCTGTATGATTCACACGATTGGGTTCTGCCTGTGCAAACACTTTCCAGAGCTTTAGCCTCAAGACTTCTTTCTCTTGCTTTCACTATGTATGCTCTGCTCATTTTACCTTAATCCTTTTTTGTTGCTGCAACAATAATATCCTCAATTTGCTCTGGAGGTTAGAAAATGATTTTTAAAAAATGGTAAATAGCCTTTCAACTTACCTTTGCTTACCTTTCCCTTATCTGTTGGCTTTAACCTCCGCTCAAAAAAGAGTTAAAATATTTTTCATCATTCTTTCACCTCTTCCCCCCCCTTTTTTATCTGACAGTTGAATCTTAATAGCTTATGGCCTCAGCTGCCTTAATGAAACACTGTTTTGGCTGTGGGGCAGAAATACCTCGGGCAGATGGACATGACCAATGTTTATTTTGCTTAGGAGAAGCTTATTTGGTTAAAAGTTGTGTAATCTGCAGAGATTTTACTACACTGACTTTGAAAAATCGCCAGTCTTGATTGTTTTTGTGGGAAAAATCCTTAAATGCAACAGATTCTTTAAATAAGAATACCACAGCCAGTCAACATAGCAACAAGTCACTGAAAGGCAAAAAATTATGCAATCTACACTTTAAAAAGTGTCAACTCAACGACAAACAGCCACATGAAAAGACTAGTAACATTCCATTCACTTCAAAAGTGCGCTTGAAATCAGCAACCAAAACTGACTCTCACAGTAGAAAAGAGTCCAACAGATATCGACCCAAACAAACAAACAAAAGGATAAAACAAAGGACAAATCTTATTCACCCCAGGAACAGTTAGCAGTGGTACCACTGATGGTGGAATCTACAGAAAACCAACAAGAAGATCAAAATGTTGGTTCAATTTCAGATGGAGAGCTGTGCAGCCCATCTATACAAACCCATCTATACATCTATACTGGAGAAGGAATTATCAGTATCAAAGAAACAAATCACCATCTGACAGATCTAAAAGTTCAGAATATTCATCTGCACAGTGCTATAGTCTACAAATCAAGTACAGCAAATACAAGCAGCCAACATCCTCAAAGAAGACCAATAATAATAAAAAAACAAACTCATTTGATATTGAGACTGAAAAGACTTGCTTGGTTTGCTTCCCGATCTAATCTACTTCAATAACTTACGATGCAGTGCTAATGTGATATGTAAACATCTGGCGCTCAATCTATCAAAGTACAAGGACAAGGGCTGGTACTCCTATACATAGGTGATTGGTTACATTGGCAAACAGAACAGTCTCATGAAGAATTTGAACTTGTGAACTTTTCAAATTATTTTGGAACTTGGCTTGAATGTAAATTTGAAATAAATCTAATCTAATACTTTGTCAGATAATTGAAGACATACTGTTGATGTTGCCCTCAATTTGATAACAGTGAATTTATTTTCCAGAAGAAAGAATAAACAAAATTATACACATAGCAATAAGATTGTGTGTCTCCAAGAGCATCAGTACGCCCGGTTTGCAGTCTATTGGGCCTCATGACATTGACAACAGCAGTGATATAGCATGCCAGGTTGAGAATGAGACTTCTGCAAGCAGATTGTCTCCTGAGTTACAGTGAGAAAAGAGGCTCACTCTTCAAAAGACTTCTATCATCACACTTGACAAGGCAGCTAAGATGGTGGACAGGAAAGGAACATCTAGTGCTGAGAATACCTTTTTTTCAGCTGTAACCATGCATTCTTACAAAAATGGATGCAAACAAAACTGGGTGGGGAGCATATTGCCTAAAAAGTACATGCAGTATGGGCACCTCGGGAGAAGGGGCAGCACATCAGTTTTCTAGCACTTATGGGGCAGATTGTGCAAAGTACATTCAAAATAATGAAAACGTTCCAAAACATGATAGCTGGGAAAGTTGTCCAAATAGTGGTGGACACTTCTGGGCAGAAATGCAACAGTCAAAAAGAATATTTACCAAAGTTGATTTTCTTATTCCGAAACATTCCAGTGTCTGAAACAATCAATATTTAAAGAACTTCATCAGACTATATCTAAGTTTGTTTGTCAAGGGAAGAAACCAAGGATAAAATTCAAGTCACTTCGGGACAGGAAACGGAAAGGAGGAATGTGTCTTCCAAATTTGCTGCTATACTATAGGGCTGCCTCATTAACGTGGATTAAAGATTGGATTTTATAGGAAAATCAAAGACTGTTAAAATTGGAAGGCCATGATTTGAAATGGGGCTGGCATGCCTTTCTTTGGTACAGTAGAATGGATGATTTTAAGCAATTCAATAACCATATTTTGAGAAAATCTTTATTATGGTCTTGGACTAAAATTCAAAGACATACTGTATGTATGTCAAAATACCATGTTGGGTAATGCCAGTGGAGGCATTTTCTTTTTGAAACCTGAGAGAAGACAAGAAAATCTTAAGATATAGAGAAGTACTAAAAGCAGATGGGACGTTAAAAAACAAAGATCAACTAATGATGCAGGGATTTGATATAGATTGGTAGTCACATTCTCAATTGATTTCAAGATATGGTAAAGATAAGCAGCAAGGTTTTTATGTAGACAATACTCCCTTTGACAGAGTCCTCCTGGATACCAAAGACAAGCATATTAGAGCATTATATAATTTTTATTAGATTTCGATACCCAGGAGGAGGTGGTTAAAGAATGTATGATAAAGTGGGCACAGAATATTGGGCACTATATAAGTTTGGATCAGTGGGAACAAATATAGAAAAACAATATAAAACTCACTAAGTCAGTAGCTTTTAAAGAAAAAATATATAAAGTTTTATAGATGGTATATAACTCCCACAAAACTAGCCAAACTGGATGTTAAAATTTCAAATCTTTGTTGGAGATGTAAACAAAAAGAAGGCTATTTTTATCATATGTGGTGGTCATGTGGGAAAGCCCAAAAATATTGGGAAAGTGTTGAAACGCTTTTGCAAGAGGTTTTAGAGATTCCAATAACTGTAAACCCTGAATTTTTTCTTCTAAATATAATCCTGGATTCAATAGACCCAGTGGAAAAATATTTAGTTATCCATATGTTGATAGCTGCAAGAATTATTTTTGCTAAACATTGGAAAGACTCGAATAATCCATCACAAGAGGAGTTTAATAGCAAAAATCCTGGATACAGTGGAAATGGATAAACTATCAGAATGGCTAGATTTAACAAGAAAGATGAATCATGAAGATTGTTGGCATAAATTTTATGATTGGCTTAGAAATAGAATAAATTCAATTCCATGTCCCCTGTCCCCTATCTCTTCACCTAACCTATAAAATAAAAATTTAAAAACCCACAAATAGTGCTATGTAATACAGCTATGTATTACATAAACAAGCAAAGTGGGACAAAATGAATGCGTTTCACTATTTAGCAGTACTTCTATGGAAATGGCACGTTGTGAAGCACATTTTTCCAATTGTGATTCATGTCACTGGAGAAGACAGTAAAAAACCAGGCTTGCTGAGCATTTTAGTAACACAAACACACAAGTAGAAATTGTCTCAACGAGTCTATGAGACAATCATCATAGATAGAAGATGACTGTCAAAAGTAGATGAGTTTGCTTCCTACAACTACAGGAAATGTAAAATGTATTGTTTGTGGGCAAACGAGGACAAAAATAATCTAGGAGATGTATCCACAATTCCTTTGAATGGATGTCTATGTGTTTCCCCCATTTCCACTGATTCATTGTGCAATAGTGAAGATCAAACAAGACAAATTGGATGTAATTTTAATAACTCTGTGGTGGCCATGTCAGCCTTGGTTCACTACTCTTTTGCTAATGGCAAAGGACAAAATGAAATTAGTCTTGTGCCACAGTCTTCTAACATGTCAGAAGGAATCAGTGCAACTCCTGCATGTAGAGCAACTGAATCTCACTGCATGGAGAATAACTCACCAATAAAGTTTATCTTCCAGAAATGAGAAAACATTTGCTAAAGATGTGTATGAATACA